GCAGGTCCACGCGGGAGGTGGAATGTCCTGGAAGAGGGCTTCAGGTCACGCGTCCCTGTCTGCTCTCCTACCCTCTTTCCTCAGTCCTGCCGACATCTAGCCCGAAAATTGTTGCGCCCCTGGCCCTCGAGGTGGGCACACAAGGGACCGTGATCTGCTCTCTGGACGGGCTGTTCCCGGCCACGGAGGCCCAGGTTCACCTGGCGTTGGGGGACCAGAGGCTGAGCCCCACAATCGCCTATGGCAACGACTCCATCTCAGCCAAGGCCTCAGTCGAGGTGACCGCGGAGGAGGAGGGCACCCACCCGCTGACGTGTGCGGTAGGACTGGGGAACCAGAGTCGGAGCGCCAGGCACACAGCCACTGTCTACAGTAAGAAGGGGCGGGGCCGGCAACGGAGGCGGGGCTTCGGGGGGCGGGGCCTGAGGCCGGGGCGGAGCTCACTGAGTGCCCGCCCCCAGGCTTCCCGGAGCCCAACCTGACGCTGAGCGAGTCTGAAGTCTCAGAAGGAGCTGAGGTGACCGTGGAGTGTGAGGCCCACACAGGAGCCTTGGTGACCCTGAATGGGGTTCCGGCCAGGCCGCTAGGCCCGCGGGCCCAATTCCTGCTAAACGCCAGAGCGGAGGACAACGGGCGCACCTTCTCCTGCTCTGCTGCCCTGACGGTGGCCGGGCTTGTCCTGCGCAAGAACCAGACCCGGGAGCTCCGTGTCCTGTGTGAGTGGGGCTGCTAGGTCATGATCCCTGTCCTCTGAAGTCCCTGTCCCTGAAGTCTCCTGAGCTCTTGCCCTCCAAGCCCTCCCCCTACCGCTAGGAGGGGGCCCCTCCCCAGAACCCTACCTGAGGCCTCGAGTGCTGGAGGTGAGGGCTGTCCTGGTCCCCCACCTCCTCCTCATCGTGCTATGTTTCTCCAGATGGCCCCCGACTGGACGAGAGGGACTGCCCAGGAAACTGGAGCTGGGAAGAAGGCAGCCAGCAGACTCTGCGATGCCAGGCCTCAGGGAACCCAGCCCCACAGCTGCAGTGTCACCGCAGAGGGGATGGCGTTTTACTGCCCATTGGGAACGTGAAGCGTGTTGACAGGAATCTTGCTGGCACCTACCTCTGTCGGGCTGTGAGCGCTCGTGGGGAGGTGACCCGAGAGGTGTCGGTAACTGTGCTCTGTGAGTGCACTGGCTTACGGGGCTGAGTGGGGTGGGGCACTGGGCCCAGCTCAATCCTCACCATCCTTTGTGTCCTCTCCATAAAGACACAGACCACCATATGGCCGCCATCATCCCAGTGGCAGTTTTGGCCATCCTGAGCACCGTGGGCGTCACCACATACCTCTATAACCGGCAGCGAAAGATCCGGAAATACAGGCTACAGGAGGCTCAGAAGGGGACCGCTATGAAGCTGAATGCAGAGGCCACGCCACCCTGAGCCCATCCCAGGACAGGGTCTCCTCTGACCCCCTACACGTGGCAACAGTGCCACACCAAGCAGAGTGGTGGGCCTGTGCCATTCCGCTACACCCACCTCCTCCAGGACACCCAAGGACAGGACATAAGCCTCAGGCGGAGGCAGACAGCATCTGGGGTCTTGGCACCTGCTTTCTTGGGACCCTTGGGCCTCGTTCCTGATCTGTAGCTGCTGGACTGAATCAAGAGAAGGGGATGAGACTCAAGGCGCGGCCGTGAGGGATGTCAGAATCCAACCTGGCCCAAGGGGAAGTGATGAGAGACACCTCCCAACGTGAGAACACACTGTGGGGAACTACTGAAACACTGTGCTGAGGCCTCAGCCCTGAGGAAGAAGTGGCCCTGCGCAGTCACGTGCGGCATCAAAACTCACGTGCTGGTGCTTCCTCTGATGGATGCCAGCTCCTGCACTGCTGTCTACTGATTGTCCCCAACTCTTGATGATGGCCTATTTATTCATTTGTTATTTTACCAGATATTTATTGAGTGTCTTTTATGGAGGCTAGGATGGAGAATGAGATGAGCATAGGTTCCTGCCCTCACAGAATGCTCCCAATCTAGTTTCATTCAGGGTCGCCAGATACAATTGTACAGGCAGTGTACTGCACAAGAGTGCCTGGCAAAAAGATTAAATGGGGGGACAACCCCCTTGGGTCTCCTCCCACTGCGAGAGCTTTTCTGTCCTTTCAATAAATCCTGCTTTCTTTAAATAAAAAAAAAAAAAAAAAAAAAAAAAAA